GTTGTAAAATGAGACTATTTCCAAAAAACAAAACAAAAAAAAAAAAAACTGGAGTATCCCTTCAAGCATAGAGAGCCTAAGTCGCCTCTCCGCTTCCGGCTCATGTCAAAAAATATGAATGGTAGTCAATGGCGAGAGACAACTTATCTTTTTATTCCGTCTGAACTGTGCCCTCAATTACACATATGATGTTTGTCAATTTAAAAGATAATTCTGAAAGTCAAAAACGTCGCAGTTTGTCATAGAAGAGTAACATTTAGTTTTTTTCTGGTTAAATAAAGGTATAATAAAAAAAAAAAAAATCACTAATCTTACGTCAGAGCCCACCAGAAAGCTTGCCTGTGACAAGATGGCCGCCGGTGATGACGATAGAGACACATCTAGCCTTTTTCCGGCCATATCGCCAATGCTAATTGTCAATCGTATTTGACGATAGTGGCCCTGACAGAATTTTTTTTTACATTAAACAGAGAGAACAAGACAGTTATAATAAGAAATGGATTTGTGTGCATTTGTTCCACAGTTTTGCAGCTTGGGAACATGAAACTGATTCTGTCGATACGAAACGCCTTCAGGCCTGAAGTTACAGCTGACAAGAACCTTTCAAGCCAAACAACAAACTGTATCTGTGCTCTCTATTTACTTCCAAATTAATGTATTTATGCTTAATGTTTATCTTAACACTTTAATCGATTCATTTTTCATATATTTAAGTCTTTATTATGCAACTTATTTCATAGAAGAGAGAATACAGCCTATCACAATAATTCTTGTATTTTGATGAAGGAGAAATGGTGCCAGTTTTGAAGTTTTTAGTTTTAATACAGACAACGCGTTATACCTTACCTAAACAACCAATGACTAACCATTTTAAGGATCAAAGCCAAGCGTAGAAGATTGATGAGGATAAAGAGCACTTGCCCTGAGGTGAAGGAGCTGTTTTCCCCTTCAGTCTCTTTGGAGAATGTTTCATTTTTATCAGGCTGATCAGAATGTGAACTTCAAACGGGAACTTTGTACGAAAAAAGAAACTGTGTGTGTACATGCACAACAAGACACTGACGTTGCTTTCGGCATGCAGCGTGCGAGTCAACCCGTCTGATTAGTTTCTTTTATGAGTTCACACAGCATTTGGCCATTGGATTATACAAAGCTTTTCTTGTAACTCGTGATTTTTATTGTATTATTTTTAACCGATGACACATTTCAAAGCAGAACAAAAGGTCTATCTATGGGAAAGGCCTCATGGCATTTACAGGCATTTTGTTTTGTTGTGCATATAAGTGAAAATATCAGATATTTCACTTATTGAAAGTTGTCCAAATTGCATTTTGCTCTCTTTATAATAAGTGGGAGCCGAAATGTAAATGCCTACATTTTATAAAGTTCTCACAATCTGGTCAAATATATAAATAAATAAATACATGCTGCATTTTTTTATTTTTATTTGTGCAGACAGTCAGATGACGAAACTCAAGATCATCTCAAATCACGCTGGAGAACATGATCATCAGATTGTGGAACATACAAAATAATAAGACAAACTCTCTCTTTATGCACCGATACAGTGACCAAACTCATCAAATGTCATCAAGCTCCTCATTACATCTGCCTCATTTAACTAAATTTATCTTCCCACAGTACACTGATTATTACATGTGTCTGAAAGAGGTCCATGTTTAAGCGTGGTAAACCCCAGAGTTCCCAGTGTAAGCTGAATGTTCCCAGCGCTGAACATCGTGACGACATGACTCCTCCCTGATCCACACACTGAACCACTGCAAACACACAGTTTCATGCGACTGGGACTGTGAAGCAGATGTGATGAGTCACACACACTACGAGTCGACGCTGTAAAAAATCACCAAAATATATGAATGTGAAAATCAGCACAGGAAGATAACAATGTGAACTAGAAAAAGTTTGTCGAGACAAACTTTAAGTTGGCTTGTGAAAGTTTGGACCAGAAAGTTTGAAGAAGTTTAGTTTAAATTAAATTAGTTTGAATTTTAAAAGTAGAAATTAAAATTTAAAGTTTACATTTGTTTTTAACGACCTTACAAGTTTGATTAAACCAAAATATGAGGGAAGAACAAAACACTAAACTTGGTTAAGGTATTTTATCTGACAATATTATTTGGCAAAAAATGGCAAACTACAGGTTTTATTCTATGCAAGTATAGAAAAATAAAAAGCTCACAGGCTACATCATCAGTTATGAATATTTCATTGGTTTCTCTTGTGTTTGCATGCGTCTAAGATTTGTCTGCATGACAGTCTGGCCGTGCAATTTGGTACGTTTGATTGCGTTAATATCACAAATAAAACTATTGAGTCCAAGCAGGACTCAGGCGTCCACACTACTGCGTTTTCGTTTAAAAACTGAGAATTAAAACGAATATGATCACCATTGACATCAGCGTTTTATCTGCATATTAGAATTGATCTCCGTCCACATTAAAACGACTGAAAACGCGGATCACGTGACCATTCACCAACGCTGGGCATGTGCGTGCCGGTGTAAACGGTAGCTGACGAATCAGGGAAGGATACGTCATGACTGATGTCACCCAATCATAGAGCCAACCGTGAGCCTCTTCGTCAGCGTTTCTAAACTCTTCCGTTTTGTCCCGACTTCACTATAAAAAAAAAATAAATAAATAAAAAACGCAAAACGGAGCTGCAACGTTTCTAAACTTCTCCGTTTTAGTCTGGACGGGAGGTGCAAACGTAGAAAAAGGTCGGCGTTTTTAAACGAAAACGCAGTAGTGTGGATGGGGCCTAAGGCCCTGTTTACACGAGAACGCTCGCGGGTGAAAACGTAAAAATATTTTATCGGATGTGCCTTTCGTTTACACAGCGACGCCGTTTTCGGGGCTTAAAAACACAAAAAAGTGAAACCACCCTCCAGAGTGGAGATCTTAAAAACACTCCACCGCCGCATTCCCATGTAAACGGTAAAAACGCAAAAGTCTGCTTGACAGTGAAGGTTGTACGCAGGCGCGCGGACTTGGTCTTGTTGTGTGGCAGTGCTTCACATCGCCACCTAGCTACCTGGAGTGCATACTACATTGAATTTCACACACTTTTATATGTTTTCACCATATGCACATGGATTTCCCACCCAAAACGCTCGTCTAAACGCAGAATCGTTTCCGTGTAAACATAGCCTTAGTTGACGATCAAGGAACTCTAATGATTTCAGTGGCTTGCCTTATACGTCAAATTAAGACGCAAAAGGCAAACTAGCCCGGTATAGCAGATCATACGTCATCGCAATTTTCTCCTATTAAATTGATGTTTTTTTTAATAGCCAAGTTTCTATAGCTACATACATTTATTTGTTGGTCTTTATGTATGATCTGAGCACTGACAAGCTGACCTTCGCTTCTATAACCTCTCAAGCAATGCTGGCATTATCATGCATCTGTTTTTTTCAGGCACCATCTGAGGACTCAACTTCTTTGATTGACCTTGCGAGGTCTGTTACGAGTGCTTGGATCTCTGCATGACCCTGGTCTGTACTGTAACTCAGTTTCAGGGTAACACACCAATCTTCTTATAGCCTTGACCAGCTTTGTGGAGAGCAACAATTCTAATTCTCAAATCCTTCAAGAGTTATTTGCCATGTTGAACATCCAGTGGTCAATTGTACTCAAAACACAAATTTCACTCTCTAATACAAGATACACATTTGTATGGTCCTGTCAAGCTGACAAAACATGAACATGATGAATGGGACATGTTTGCATGGTAAACGACGTACAGCTATTATCACTTTTGTTGCCAGATATTTTGACAATAATGGCTGTGTGTCGAGTCATTTTCAGAGGACAGTAAATATATACTGCCATACAAGCAGCACATTGACTACTATAAAATATATATTAGTTTTATTTCTATAGTATTTCTATAGTATGTACCTTGAGAAGATACACTAAAATGTTTGCTGGAATGTGAGGGGTGTAGCCTACTCGCTTTTGTGAGATTAGAGATGTATATATTTGCACACACACACACACACACACACACACACATATATATATATATATATATATATATATATACATATATAGGCTATATATATATATATAGGCTATATATATATATATATATATATATATATATAAATATATATGTATACAGACATTTAGACCATTTCACAAGATGTAAACAACACTGGTCCAGAAGCACTTCCTGTTTCAGTTTTTTTAACACTATATAAAAGCTGGGATAAAATACAACCAACAGAACATATAAAACTGAATCAAAAAGTTAAACAAACATCTTTAAGATGTTTTCTTTACATGTGAAATAAAGAAAACATTTACAAACTGAAACAGGAAGTGTTTCTGGACCAGTGTTGTTTACATCTTGCAAAATGGTCTATACGTGTAACATAATATTATTTTCAACAGGGATGTTTTAGTAAAATCAGGGAGTAAAAGGTATGAAATATACAAAATTGTACTTTTTTATAGTTACATTTTTAAAAAAAAATTTAAATCCGTGCATAAAGCACAATGAAAATGTAAGCGCCGATTTTTTTTGTGTGCGGTTGATTACGTCATTATGCCCTGGTGGGAAATGGCGGGAATTAATTAAAGATGACCTTGTTGAGGCCGTCATTTCCACTCAACGGACAGTCGGATGGCAACCTTCGCTTACTCACATTTGTTTTAATTCACTGCCGTGGTAATGGTTGTTATAAGGCAGCCTTTGGCGCTAAAGCCTCCTCATTAATTAAAAGAGCATCATGGGTTGAGAGAAGCTCAGAGGCAGATGTTAAGTTGCTCAGGGTTGTCAAACACTCACTGCTTGCGTATCGTGTGTTTATCTGGCTGGGATAACCTCAAGACATGGATATCGTGCACAGCAGCGATATTTCCATATTCCATTAGATGTGTATGAATTGAACACGATGTGACTGACATCTGATCTGTGCTTCAAGTTAAGTTTTTCTTTTTAAGATATACAAATGTGTAATTATTTAGCATTTGTCTAAACACATTCTTGAATGTGTTTCTCCTAGAAAGCAGTGAACAAAATCTCCCGGTGTTTCTTCTGAGAGAAAGACTTCTTCAGTAAGTATCTCATCTAAAGTTTCAAAAGACATCCAAGACACCAAAGTCTGCAAGCAAATGTCAAAATATGAACTCAAACATTTCTCCTCGATCCACATTCATTTGATTGATAGTTACTGCATGTCAGTTGCCTATTGCTTTGTTATTTTTTTAAGAGACACATATTCACAATCAATGAGCGATATAATTTTCCTCTGGGCAGCGAACGCAAACCATAAATCACATTTCCAGATTTACTGGATTCCAATTCACCAGACATGTTAAACAGGCCTGTATACTTAATATAACAGTAAACTACATTTTTTTAGGATCCTTTTAGTTTGTTTTCGTTTTGATTTACATTTATAGACTGTTAAAATGAGTTGCTGTCAAAGTAAGTTTTATAGATATGTTAAAAACACACACACATTGGACTTTATTTTCTTCTCATGTCGGCTGTTTGTGAAGACCACCGTCACAGAGAATGAGAGCGCTCTCTAGTGGTCATAACTAACCAAACAAACAGCTCAGCGCTTTTGGGGCTGTTTTAACCACTTACATTCTGCATTTTATGTGAATATTATGCAAAGTGTATAGGCTATGCATCTGTTTTGACTAGCTTTATTTGCTGATTTTGTTTCAAACTGAAAATGCATTTGCATATTGAAATGTAGCATATTAAAAAATAGTTTGAATAAGGGAAATCAATATGTCATGCGGTGTGATGTTATACAACACACTGAAAACTATCTTCAATGTTTGATTACCAGACAAAAGAGTGGTAACAGGCCCTTTAAAAACATAATTTATCGATTGTTCAACCATTTTTTTTAACCTAAAATTTAATTTTTAAGTCTGTTATGCTCATCAAGTGTGCAGTTATATTAAAGACACTCTCAGAAAAAAAAGGTACAAAAGCTGTTACTGGGGCTGTACCTTTTCAAAAGGTAAACTTTTGTCAACTTTTGGTGCAAATATGGAAATTTAGGTGCTAAAATGTGCATTTTAGCACATAATATGTACATTTTAGGTGCTATTATGTATTTTAGGTACTAGGTGCTAATATGTGCATTTTAGGTGCTAATATGTATTTTAAGGTGCTAATATGTACATTTAGGTGCTAATATGTGCATGTTAGGTGCTAATATGTATTTTAGGTGCTAATATGTACATTTTTGGTGCTAATGTGGACATTTAGGTGCTAATATGTGCATTTTAGGTGCTAATATGTACATTTTTGGTGCTAATGTGGACAGGTGCTTATATGTACATTCTATGTGCTATTATGTACATTTTGGGTACTAATATGTTCATTTTAGATGCTATTATGTACATTTTAGGTACTATTACATTTTAGGTGCTAATATGTACATTTCAGGTGCTAATATGGAAATGTACAGTAGGTGCTAATATGGACATTTTAGGTGCTAATATGGAAATTTTAGGTGCTAGTTTGTACATTTTAGGTACTAATATCATACGATGATTTGATGCTCAAGAAAAATTTCTGATTATTATCAATCATGATGATTTTTTCGTTCAAAAGAACAGCATCTTTTGTGACATGAATTTTAAATGTCACTTTTGACCAATTGAATGCATCCTTGTTGATTAGACATGTAAAAAACGTATGTTCATAAAACAAGACAAATGTAATCAAATATGCTTTTGAAGGGGCAACAACACCGAGCACAACAAATGGCTCTCCAGTGGGAATTGCAGGGCTGTCCCAGACCCGTTTGTTTGCATGATTGAGATGGGGTCAGCCGAGGTATGACTTCTGCTCCTCCGAGAGCGTTTCAGGCCGGGCCGTCGAACAGCCGTCCAGGCCTGTAATTACCGGGTCCATTGCCTAGCCTATTGTCATGCATAGACGAGCAGGCACGACCCAGGGAGCACAGACAACATGCCAAACTAAATGTGGGGTGTGGCGGGTCACCTAGATCACCATCTCCTGATAATTACCCACAAGCCCCAGTTAGTAAAGGTGGAGGGGTCTGAGGGAATGCCCCGGTTCCCACACAAAAGAAAAAAATGACACAAAGCTACACAAGGACTCGTCTTACCATGCCTTTTTCTCCTCCCTTACTCATTTCTTTTGCTTCATAATGAGCATGAGTGAGAGCAGGCGGGGTGAAGGTACCGTACGAGTCCAACCCTTCGAAGACAGCCAAAGATAGCTTTTGTTAAAGGTGTCGGCGTCCACATTTCACAATGTCGTGCAATCGATTTCAAATATATGTTTGCGGAAACAGCCAACACCGTTTGATCGTGGGATGAAAGTCGTGGCACATCCCGTGTGGTTTTCCTTATACTTTATATAAGGCATTAAACCACTTTCTATAGTGTCCTCGGGGCAGCAGTCACCAGGTGAGCCCAAAGAGTATAATTAACTAAGACTGTTGCAGTTAAAGAATACAGAGCTTCTGTCAACTTTGGCCTTTGGCAGAAAACAGGGATTAAATTAGTCATAGGTTCCTCTTCAACTTCTGCACGTAGCCAGAAGGCCTGTGTTATGAAGATATGCAGATAGATGGATATATCCAGCACCAACGAGAAGAACAAGGCATCTAAACACATTGACATTTGCTTTAGATTTAGGCAGGACGTCTCATGCAATCTTGTTCATCTGGTGAGGATTGGTTTGAAGTGCACAATGAGCCTCTGTCCCTTGTTTTCTTTTTGTAAAGTGGTGGCACACGAGGAGGGGCCGGTTTACTCCATTATGTTTTAATCATCTTTGTTTCTAGCAGTTCAGAGACAAAGCGAGAGGCTTTTCTTCTCCTGGCTCAACTCAAAGCAGAACACTCAGATATGATCCCTTTTAGTGTTTATTTACCCCTAAACAGCCAGATAAGCATATGAAGGGAAACGTCCTGAGGGCTGAAGGCTGGGAGAATCAGAGAATACCTGAAACAACACAAAGGGAACACAGACGATTGTTGTTTGCGTGTCTCGAACAGCAGCTGCGCCGAGAAAGAGGAATATAATGAAGCGAGGTGAGATATTAAGTAAATTACCAGCACCAGGGCCTTGGCGTGACTCGAGTGCTGACTGACAGATGCGTTTGCTCGTCTTTTCTTGTGTGTAAAGTGAGGATGAGAGTCGGTGGGGTCCGGTTGCCTCGTCTCTCGGAACATGACAGCGTCGCCTCTGGCCGTCACTGAGGAGTGTCTTCCACAAAGTCAATCAAAATACACTCTTAGAAGAAAAGGTTCTATATAGAACCTTAAAAAGGTTCTATCAGCGCTACGTATTTGGAACCCCTAAAAGGTTCTATACACTCTTAAAAAAAGGGTTCCTCTGGGTTCTATATAGAACCCTGGGGTTCCGTACTTGGCCAATAGAACCTTTTACCAAAAAAAAGAACCATTTTGGAGTTCCATGTATGAAGCGGGGGATGGAACCATTTCTGGTTCTAAATAGAACCATTTCTTCCAAGAGTGATATCCATAACTTCACTCTCTTTGTAGACAAATATATGTATATACAACACTGGATTGGCCCAGAAAACAAGTATTCCTGAGAGGTTGAGAGACTTTCATGCATTTAACCCTCTGTAAAAAAAAAATATATTGTTGGTTTAACTTAAAAAAAGTAAGTAACCTGGTTGCCTTAAAATTTTAAGTTGATTGAACTGGAAAAAGTGAGTTTATGCAATGAAGGTTACAAAATAATAAGTTATCTGAACTAAATAAATTATTTAAGTTGATTTGACAAAAGAAAAAATGTTGTCATATAACAAATCTTGAAATTTTTTTTACAGCTTGTGTCATATTTGATACTCAAAATTGTAAATGATCAACATGATCAAAACTTTAATTTGCACAAAATCTACATGTCTTCTGTCGCCTGCATTGATAGTTCATGCTTTTTTGCAAGTAAAAGGTATTTTAGTAATTGCACATATGCTTTACTATTCTTTTTGCGGTGAAATATTGTTAGTAATATTATCCATACTCACATTTCAACATTTCTATGCAAAAATATGTTTCAAATATGATCATCAGGCTTTTATGGAAGGTTTATTTGTTCATCTCTCAATCATCATTGTATTGCATTGCATTATGTTTTAAAACTTTTCCTGTTACTCAGACATATTATTGAGATATGAGGGGTAATTTATATGCATCTTATGTAAGCAGTTTGTTACTGTGTTTTGAATATCTCACTGATTTGCATTACAAGCATCAGAATTTCATACTTTTTGGCATGATTTTGAAGGCTGATACCGATACAAATATTTGTTGGTTTTAAAATCCGATATATCGGCCGATAATTTTCATTTTTTTTTTATTTCAGAAACGCGCAACAAAACATTAACAGATTTCCCTAACATTAGTTATTTGTAATTATTTATGAGTTTTAACTAAAATAATATGATAATACTTTTTAAAAAGAAACTTGTTTCTTTTATTGTCACAACAGAACAGTGGAACATCAAAATATATTAAAGTTCTGATAAATAAATAATAATTAGTCCACATTGCCTTATAAGCGACCTTATAATTACAATGTCAGCTTGCTTATCCCTTTACCTGCACTTTCCATCATGCTACATCAAACCATTTTCAATCATCAGTTGCTGCCTGCGTTTTAAAACCTACTATATAGCGATTCTAAATCCATTACTGGATTTAACACACGTGTAAAAGAAAAGCTAACTTTTATGTGCAGGATGTGTGGCGCGTTATACACGAGTGTTGCCAACAGGGATGGTGTAGAGTGCCCTCTGGTGGACAAACTATACAACTCCAACACTCATGGCATGGTTGAAGTGTGTTTCGTCCGTTTTTATTTTATCTTTGAAATATTAATTTATCGTCCATTATAACTGCCGATACCGATAGATTGGAAAATGCCTAATATCGGCCGATAATATCGGCCTGCCGATAAATCGGTCTGGCTCTAATAAAAATATCAACATCTGCATGAAATCTCGTATTTTTGCTCAGTTTGGCTTTGGACGTCTGAATATAATGTCTGTTTTTGCTCCTGGAGTTTAAACTCCATATTAAGCATTATTTATCAAAAATGAAAATGCTGGGTTGTTTTAACCCAATTTTGGGTCAAATATGGACAAACCCAATTGTTGGATTAAAAATGCAATTTATAAATTTAACCCAACAGCTGGGTTTGACCATATTTGACCCAACATTGGGTTAAAATAACCCAGCATTTTTTAGAGTATACTCAACAAAAAACACATGCAAGCATTTTTTTAATCTAAAGGTTCAATAAACTGTTTCATTCCAACTCTCTCTGATGTTTCTTCTAAAATAATTCAAATAATTTGACGATTTTTTTGAGTGCATATTGAACTTGCAAATGCTGGTGCAAATGAATTCACTGATAAATTGCTAACGGCTTATTATGTACAGTTCATGCATTGTAAAGAAAAAAGAAGGGAAGCGCGTTTCAGGAATGCATGGGTTTAATTAATGGGCCAAGTATGTCACCTATTTGAAAAAAAAAAAAAAGCTTTTCTTGTGAAGTGAAGAAAAATAGGGCTGTAACCACATCATGAGGTAATTGCAGTTTGGCAGGTGTGTCATAATGAGCAGAGATAGAGCGCCCAACAGGATGCAAATGAATTTGGGCCTGGGGCGCTTCCAGTGCAATGCATTCAAGGCAATTAAGACTCTGCCACTTTCTACAACAGGGGTCAGATTCCCCACAGATCATCCCAATATGACATGAAAGATCTAAGAGAGCAGCTCGGCATGTCAAAACTCGACGGCGATGAAAAGGAAGAGTTGGATGAAGCTTGATAGACAGAAATCTGGGAAACAAAAACAGGGTCGTCTTCTCTGCCAAGAAAAAGGAAAGGATTAAAAAAGAAAGGCCACGTCTTTTGAAGGTTATGCAACTGTGTTTGGATAGGAAGGAGATCAGATCATAATGAAACAATTAAAGGCTTTAGGGCTGACCTGTGCATAATTCAAACGAAGAATGCCGAAGTTAAGGACCTGAAGTCTATTTCATTCTCTTTATAGGGCTTGACTGGACTGATTACACGGTCACCCCACCCCAAACCCTTTCCTTCCCATGATGCCTCAGGCCACAACGCCACACCCCGCACCAGCACTCCCCCCTCCTGAGTGGGACGGCCTCTGCGCAGGTGGAAAGGGTAATTAAACTTTTACATTCACTCGCTACTCTGGTGTAAATCAGCTTACTGTCATGGATCCATTCTGCTGGAAGAGCACGGAACGACTGGAGTTAGGCTAATAAAACAGGCTTTCATTGTTTACTAACCCTCATGTTGTTCCAGACTCATATCACACACACACACAGCATATCATTCAAATGCTAGAAAAAAAACTCCACAGATATTTTTTTTACAAACTTACAAATAATGACAATTTTACGGATGTGTATTGCATTCACTTGAAGAAAAAAAAAAACTACTCTAATCTACAGAATTACGAGATAATTTTTAACGGAAAATTGATTTGCTCTGTTTTTCTGAAATAATTGACTTGATTATCTCAAAAATTAAAAAAAAAACAGAGCAAAAAGTTTTTTCCACGAAAAATTATCTTGTAATTCTGAGATAATTAACTTGTTAATTCAGAAAAAAAACAGAGCAAAAAAAAAACATGAAAAATTATCTCGTAATTCTGAGATAATTAACTTGTTAATTCAGAAAAAAAACAGAGCAAAAAAAAAAAAAAACATGAAAAATTATCTCGTAATTCTGAGATATTAACTCGTTAATTCAGAAAAACAGAGTAGATTTTGTTACCTCAAGTGAATACAATACGCTTCTGTACAATTTTGATTTGATTTTATAAATAATAAAAATGTGTGTGTGTGTGAGATTTGTCATTACAATTGCACACACACACACACACACACACACACACACACACACACACACACACACACACACACACACACACACACACACGTACATATATATGCACTTTTCTAATTATGCAATCTGCATTGCAATCATCCCACATGCTCAATTTGCCGTGAATATTACTATTTAGGATTACGTAATTAAAAGAATATAAAATTAATGCACATTTGTATAAAAAAATCATTTTCTGACAAAAAAAAAATATATATGCATACTTTACACTATAAAATATGCTGGGTTGTTTTAACCCAATTTTGGGTCAAATATGGACAAACCCCGCCATTGGGTTACACTTTTAAATTACATTTTTAACCCAATGTTTGAGTTTGTCCATATTTGAACCAAAACTGGGTTAAAACAACCCAACATTTTTTAGAGTGCATATATAAAAGGTTTTACACACACACCAAGTAATTAAAGTAATGTTCTGACTAAAAATATGCTTATATTGCTCCCAACTGATGAGATTTGCATAGTGCAATGGGGTCAAATGGATATCACTGATGGCATATTTTGTTCTAACAGGGTTTAGTAATTGCAAATCATGTATTTTAGTGTTGACATGATTAGCATGCTTCTGTTTGCTTCAAAGCTGTCTTCTTGCAGCTGTGTTGACACTGATGAATTTACTAGTGAAAGGCCCGGGGCAGACCATCACATCACTGGGAATAGCTCACATGCCTCTCTCTGCTCTCTGAGTGCCAAATCATATCTGTGCCTTGATGTTAAAAGTGCATGAATAATGCCTTGTTTCAGTCGTTTTGACCTTTTCTCTGCTACAGGTTTTGTAAATGTGCACTTCTCTAAAACAAATCTGGTTGTATCTGGTTTTTGGAAGCTTTAAAAAAAAAAAAACTCTATTAGGAACATCTGTTCAGTTCCTCATTAATGCAATTATCTAATCAACCAATTACATGGCAGTTGCTTCAATGCATATAGGGGTGTGGTCCTGGTGAAGACAATCTCCTGAACTTCAAACTGAATGTCAGAATGGGAAAGAAAGGTGATTTAAGCAATTTTGAGCGTGGCATGGTTGTTGGTGTCTGAGTATTCCACAACCATTTCTAGGGTTTACAAAGAATGGTGTGAAAAGGGAAAAACATCCAAAATGCCTTGTTGATGCTCGAGGTCAGAGGAGAATGGGCCGACTGATTCACGCTGATAAAAGAGCAACTTTGACTAAAATAACCACTCGTTACAACCGAGGTATGCAGACAACACACACAACCTTGAGGCGGATGGGCTTCAACATCAGAAGACCCCACCGGGTACCACTCATCTCCACTACAAATAGGAAAAAGAGGCCACAATTAGCAAGAGCTCACCAAAATTGGACAGTTGAAGACTGGAAAAATGTGGCCTGGTCTGATGAGTCTCGATTTCTGTTTAGTAGAGTCGTAAACAGAATGAGAACATGGATCCATCATGCCTTGTTCCCACTGTGCAGGCTGGTGGTGGTGGTGTAATGGTGCACACTTTAGGCCCCTTAGTGCCAATTGGGCATCGTTTAAATGCCACGGCCTACCTGAGCATTGTTTCTGACCATTTCCATCCCTTTATGGCCATCATGTCCCCATCCTCTGATGGATACTTTCACCATGTCACAAAGCTGGAATCGTTTCTTGAACATGTCAATGAGTTGACTGTAGTAAAATGGCCGCCACAGTCACCAGATCTCAACCCAATAGAGCATCTTTGGGATGTGGTGGAACGGGAGCTTCATCCCACAAATCTCCATCAACTGCAAGATGCTATCCTATCAATATGGGCCAACATTTCTAAAGAATGCTTGTTGAATCAATGCCGCGTAGAATTAAGGCGAAAGGGGGTCAAACACAGTATTAGTGTGGTGTTCCTAATAATCCTTTAGGTGAGTGTATATTATGTTCATCAACATAAATATGAGTCAAACAAAACACCTCAGGATGTTTGCAAATATGTTCAGAAGGAAATAAGATATTATAAAATTAGATTTTATAGTTATATTAACATTGCAGTGTGTTCACACACCCATTTCACACTGAGATGCTCATTTGCATCACATAGAGCACGCTATAAACTTCTCACCAAAATGAGTCTGTAATCATTTAAATTTCCCTCCAGGAGACTGAATATGTAAAATACCAGTTTAGAAGTGACACTCTTTTGATTTATAGAAAATTAATTAGGATTACGTTCAAACATTTTTAATCCGGATATACTGTAGTAAAATAAGAAAAGAAAACATATATTATATCTGTTGATTCTATGGAGCTGGTAAAGTTCAAGGAAGAGGAAACAACAAGTAAAGATCGCTGAGGTCTGATAAGTGTAACATCAAACCGTGCCGAAGCTGGTGTGTCAAAGGGTGTTTGCATACATATATATTGACTATAATGCACTTGCCTTCCGGGTTCAACCCTTCGGATAAAACACGGCTTGACAAACACACTAGTTGTTTTTTTTGTTTGTTTGTTTTTTTAGGATTCTTTGACGAATTAAACGTTATAAAATAATTATTTGTCTGGTTTGAAACTGTCTCTCTCACAAACACACACTCACAAAGTTGAGCATAAAATAAATTAATGTACAGTTGTATTAAAAAAATCAAGTTGACTAAAATAAATGCATTGTGTATATATAAAAGGTTTTACACATATACGTGTATATGCTAAAGTAATTTTAATTATTATGCCTGTGTACATACTGTATGTGTGTGTGCATATGTTTTACTAGGCATTTCTGAACAAAAGGAAATTTCTATGCCACATTTTTCAGTGCATAGGATTGTGATAAAATGTATATATATATATATATATATACAGTATATATATATATATATATATATATATATACAGTATATATATATATATACAGTATATATATATATATATATTGCTCGCTCTAAACAAAGCCTACAGTATAATACCTCCTGGTTACTGTCTTGAACACACAGTGTTGTTGCAGTACGCTATACACCATTATACACCATTATACAGTACGTGTGAAGCGTTCTGTTGTTTAAGTTCACTTAAGCCCGTAGAAATGCGGTCTGCCACTCTGAGTCTGACTTAATTAAACTTCAGAGATCTCTGTCAGTGTAATTGGTGCGTGATTATCTCGTTTCTTGGCTCTCGCTGAGCCGATTGCGAGTGTCATTTGTTAATGCAGGACGTTAAAAAGAGTCTTTAAAGTAGTGTTTAGGGAGCTGCCCCAACAAGTTTTGCGGGGCGAGAGGTTAGAAGTGTGTGTGTTTGTCATTATGCGTGTCAACACTGTCATATGGTGTCGAGTCTCATTTAAACAAACACCCCATGCTCCACTTAACAGCTATGAAAAATATTAAAAGTATAAAGCATAATAACAAACACCCTCCAGGTTTACGGTCATTGTTTTGGCGTGAGTATTGTCTCGCAATACGCTCTATTACATCTCACACGAGCTGACATCTGATCGCTCTGCACGCCAAACAAAGAAAATACTGGTTTAAGTATACTAATCTGCTAAAAATGCTCTTTTGCATTCGAAATAACATGTTATGAAAATGATATGTGCATAATGCACTTTTAATGTAGAAAATGCAAATACTCATTTGGGATATCAAAGTGATAAAATCACATTTGTGAAATGGGCGTTGAGTTTCACATGCTTCTAAGTCATCATGTTTGTGAAAAGATTTGCATTTAAAGCATTTATCTGTAAATCTTAATCATATTTGATTCAAGAATTTGTCACTGGGGTGAGGAAAACAAAGCCTTAAAGGAGTAGTTCACTTTTAAAAAAAACTTTTGCTGATAATTTACTCACCCCCATGTCATCCAAGATGCCCATGTCTTTCTTTCTTCAGTCAAAAAGAAATTAAGGTCCATATACTTCAGGTCCATATAATGGACTTCAATGGGGTCCAAACGGTTCAAGGTCCAAAAGTGCAGTTTCAAAGAGATTTAACCGACACCAGACGATGAATAAGGGTCTTATCTAGGACCCTTCAAGTCATGACTCGAAAAAATATTCGTTATTTTGATGAATGAGTTCGAACAGGAGAGTCACGACACGAACGCGCATCACAGAACAGAGCAAAGCGAGCATTAGTGATTATAAAACTTAAACTTTTTTATTTATTTTTTAAATGAGTGATTGTTTCGCTAGATAAGACCCTTATTCGTCGTCTGGTGTCGTTTAAAGCTGCACTGAAACTCTCATTTGGACCTTGAACCGTTTGGACCCCATTGAAGTCCATTATATGGAGAAAATCCTGGAATGTTTTCATCAAAAACCTTAATTTATTTTCGACTGAAGAAAGAAAGACATGGACATCTTGGATGACATGAGGGTGAGTAAATTATCAGCAAAAGTTTTTTTTTTTAAATGTCTCATACAATTTTGCTTCACAAGTACATTTCTTATTATAAGGATGTTATAAGACACAATTGCTCTGCATGTGCATATGGCAGAGTCTCTGTGTGGCCCTCTTTCCCCCAGAGGAACCACAGGACCCGACTTATAATTATACTCTTTGAGCACATCCAGGCCTTATCGTAGTAAAACTCTCTCAGAAGAGCTCTGCAACTCTCCTGCATTGAAAACACACAACGCTACATGTGATGAAGCATGCACACGGCCTCAATGAATCACAGGTCGGCTTTGTTTACAAGGAACTGTCACGCTTTTGAAAACGAAACAATAACTTTAGATACAGTACCACCTTATTATATTAGCGGTAGAAACGAACGCCATCCTTTCATGCTGTGTAACAAACCGCCAGTTTTCCATAGTTGAATGCACGTCTGTTCACTCTTTAAACAATGTGAACATTCATCTAAAGCCACAAAGCGCTTTTTATTATCCCATGTGACGACGCTACAAATACATTACCAGCAGATATTAAAGGATTTGTTCACTTTAAAAAAAACTTTTGCTGATAATTTACTCGCCCCCATGTCATCCAAGATGTCCATGTCTTTCTTTCTTCAGTCGAAAAGAAATTAAGGTTTTTGATGAAAACATTCCAGGATTTTTCTCCATATAATGGACCTCAATGGGGTCCAAACGGTTCAAGGTCCAAAATACACTTTCAGTACAAACTGCAAACTGTTTAAAGGGCTTTAAGCGATTCCAGATGATGAATAAGGGTCTTATCAAGTGAAACGATCGCTCATTTAAAAAAAAAAAAAAAAGTTTAAGTTTTATAAGCTCAAATGGTCGCCTTGCTCTTTTTTGTGATGCCCGTTTGTGACTCCCTGTTTAAATGAACGAATCTTTTCCCGAGTCAATTCTTTCATTTCGTTTGTTGAATGAACAAAATGACACGAAAAAAGATTCATTCATTTTGATGAGACAGGAGAGTCACGAACGGCCATCACAGAACAGAGCAAGGCGACCATTTGTGCTTATAAAACTTATACTTTGTTTTTTTGTTTTTTTAATGAGTGATCATTTTGCTTAATAAGACCCTTATTCATCACCTGGAATCATTTAAAGCCCTTGAACAGTTTGCAATTTGCACTGAAACAGTCTTTTGGAGCTTGAACCGTTTGGACCCCATTGAAGTCCATTATATGGAGAAAATCCTGGAATGTTTTCATCGAAAACCTTAATTTCTTTTCGACTGAAGAAAGAATGACATGGACATCTTGGACGACATGTGGGCGAGTAAATTATCAGCAAAAGTTTTTTTTTTTTTTTAAAGTGAACTACTCCTTTAAGGTTTAACCACTGTAGTCACTTGGACTTTTTTAAACAATGTCTTTAATAATTTTCAGCTTCAATAACACAGAAGCCTATGGAGGATCCAGCTCTCAGATTTAATCAAAAATATCTTAATTTGTGTTTTGAAGATGGGGTTGGGAGAGTAATTACTGACAGAATTTTCTTTTTTTGGTGAACCATCCCTTTAAACTGAATCATTAACTAAAAACTCAAAGTTATGAAAACAAAGCATGAGCAATATAATTGTTCCTCTGGCATTGGAGAAATGTATGCAACTTCAGGGCAGAGTTTGGTAATAGACGCTTGTCGTACGCGAGTACAGCAGTGTAAATGCCCTGCTTGACACACTTAATAGTGCTAATGTGCTTGGAGCCCTTTCTAGGGAACTCGTCCCCACCCTCCTGACTACTCTTCCCTCAAACTCTTCTCCTCTTCCTCACGTCTGTATGAAAATGTTCCTTATGTGTTCCTAATAAATCAACTTGACTAATCATGCCTTTCCATTTTGATTCATGACTTGTCTGACAGGTCAAATTGCCGGTGTGGATCTCTGGCACGGAATGAGAAGAAACTGAGCTGGTTTGGTCCCGAGGCGATGGACGGGGGGAGGAGAGCGCGCTGGTGGGAAGAGTGGAGCAACCCACTGCGGGTTTCTCTCTTTTCTGATTTATGCCTTCTCTCATGTGCAAAAAACAAATGAAGAAGTCTAATAAATGCTCTTTCTCTCTCTCTTTCTCTCTCTCCATATATGCATTGCCTGTTAAGCTTCAAAGTATGTACAGTGATCAGCCTTCCTTTCCCAGATAATGTTTCCTGAACACTTTGATGTGTAAATCTTCCTTTATGACTTCATAGGTTCTTCCGTGTGAAAATGAGAGAGAAAACGTACAATGAACTTTTTTGATATGGAAATGATGATTGACTGCACCGTACACTGTAAAAAACAACAAGTAAAATGTACTTAATGCAAGTTTTGTAAATTTCACACATAGAATTACTGTAAGTAAACTACACTGAAAGAATGCTGGGTTGTTTCAACCCAAATTTGGGTCAAATATGGAGAAACCCAAATGTTGGGTTAAAAATCCAATTAAAAATTTTGTTGGGTTAAAACTTGGGTTATTTTTTTAACCCAACATTTGGGTTTGTCCATATTTTACTCAAGTTTGGGTTAAAACAACCCAGCATTGTGTAGCGTGTATACTTAACTAAGTTAAGTGAAAGTAACACAAGACATTTTTATATAGCTAATTAAAGGTTATGTATATCTATTTCACTCAAATAATATTACATTGAATTACACTACACTTTAAGTATATGATTTACTCAGAAATGTTTAAGTGATTAATACTTATAGCGTGTCACGAATCTTAATTTCTGAAGTTGTGTGAATGCAGACCTCTATAATTGGTAGAGAATACACAATAACATTTGATAGATCGTTTGTGTTTGAATGTGTCATTTTAAGAAGAAAATGAACTCCAAATGTCACAAAATGGCAAGTTACTAATCCTAACAACAAAAGCAATGATAAAACAGTGTAAATACATACGGAAAACAGTGAAAAAAAATCAAAAGTAATTATTCAAGGCCCAGTGCATGATGGGAACACCAGTATCAGAAAAGTAGAGTAATTCTACTTAATTTTATAATGTTGATATTTACGCTTTCATTTCTACACCATTAAATTGAGTGCTACTATAGAATTTAATTATTTTTTTTTTAATTCTTGCCTGAACTAACTTTTATCATGTAAATTACATTGTTTTTTTTTGTAGTATTTACTGCACCACAAAATCATTTTTATCATACTGAAAGGCACCTCTGAAACAGCAAAATATCTGTAAATGCAAAAAAGTCCAGAAGACCCCATGAAATCAGAAAAAGGAGTTTTGTGGCTTGTAGTCCATGTGTGTTGCTTTACGCTCATTGATCCGCTAGACCGGCGGGTCTTGACTGGTTTTGATTTAGAACACAGATATCAAGTGGCAACAGTAACCAAATATCCTTTAAAATGTAATAAAACGATTTACTGCTTCACATTTGGATGTCATCTCAAAATGCTTTTGCAATGGATATGCTCGTATTATTTCCAGTGTGCACAATTTATACTTTTTAAATGTAGCATAGATTGTATTAAAACAAGAACAACACTGTATGCAATGTATTCGATTTGGCCTTCCATTTCCAGTGTGATGAATGAATTCAGATAGATAGATAGATAGATAGATAGATAGATAGATAGATAGATAGATAGATAGATAGATAGATAGATAGATAGATAGATAGATAGATAGATAGATAGATAGATAGATAGATAGATAGATAGATAGATAGATAGATAGATAGATAGATAGATAGATAGATAGATAGATGCGAAAATGTGACTAAAACAAACAATTTGATCAATTTAAACTAAATGTTGGACTCGATAAAGTGTTCCTTACAATTCACTAAAGATCCCGTGATCCATGAATATTGACATACAGCCAGAAATCGTGTTGCCTGACATTTATGTTTGCCTGATTTCGACACCAGGGAAATAAAAGCAATATAGACCGAAACATAAAGCAAATTTGCCTGTGAACGCTTTATATAAATACAATATATGTCTAAATCCGGGTGATCACTTATATCAGTGTTATATAGCCTATCATATCGTCCAGCCATAAAACATTATAGTTTTTGGTCAGTGTTTATTAAAAAACATCCAATAATGCAGAATATTGCAATAAATATTTAATTGATGAGTTGATAATATATATAACGATACAAGGTTTTACACCTAAATTCAAATCCACCTTTCGCTGACTGGAGTCCCCAAATAATATTGTGTAAATGTCGTTTCATGTTATTATTTAGACGTCTTGGGTCTCGAGGAGCAAGGCGACGTGGGAATATTTAGCCGTGCTTAACCCCGTCAGATGTGGTGAAGACTTCGGTCGTACTGCGTGTCATGCAGAAACTGCAGGAACATATAAATTAACTTGTTAACGTCTCTGAGGTCTCACACCCCATCCCACATTCACAGTAACACATGTGTCTCAAGCAAATTAGCATGTAGTTGGCTAACCCTAACCCTCCCCGCGTCTCCATTTACACACACCGCTTTCTATTTCCACCCCGCTCTGATGTAAAAGCCGCTCTATACGCTAGAGTTTCACAGTTCATTGACTCGACAGCTTGTTTACGTGCAATAAATTGATGTGAAAATTGGCGTTGGAGCAGCCGGTACATTTGAAAGCCATTAGAGGGACACTGATGATGGAGCGGCTTTATAACCTCACGAGACCTTGCTGACTCGAGCTTTCAATTATCCCAGGGTGTATAAATCAACGTTAACATAGTTTGGTGAAAAATGAGCACTTGCGGTCGCCGATGTAGGTCTGCGAGCCTCAATGTTTCCAGAGTACCTTAAGCCTGGTCGGCCAAACCTGTTGGAGAGGAAAAACACCCGTGAGATCTGTTATATCTCAACCAAGACGCAGTGTGACTACATGGAGAGGAAAAGATCCCAGTTAGACCTCCAGAAGAGGAGAAAAATATCGGAGACGAAGTTGATATGTCAGCTGATATGAAACTGGGGAAAGGCCCGTTCACACCAAGAATGATAACGATAACTAAATTAGCAGACTCGTCATATAGCCTAGGTGATGCTTTTGGCATTGCGTCTACATCCGACGCACATGGCACCCTTTAGCGTCAACAAGAGATGTAGATATATATGGGCCAGAAGGCGCCACCTAGTGGTCTTATGGTACGTTCACACCGGAAGCGAAAAGCACGCCAGGCACGAATGATTTCAATGTTAAGTCAATGCAAAGACGCATTGCGCGCGTAAAAAATTCCTGCGGCGCGAATGAGGCGTGGAGCGCGGCGAGGAAGACACGAATACGCCTCGTTTGCGCGAATGGCGCGAATGATTTAGTTAGTGCCATTTGTGCATTCATGCGTTTGACGCGAATTCACGTCTGCCGCCCGAGTTGAAAAATCTGAACTTTGCCGTGAATTCGCGCCGCGTTAACCAATCAGGAGCCTAAGCTGCTTGCTCACGTGGTGAAGTGTCTGGATGCTTTAATAAATTATTTTGTAATATGACTAAATGCATGGTGGGATTATGCACAACAAAGCAAATATTTTATCACTTAAACCATTATTTCTATATACGAGACATGTTCATTTTATATTGAATGTTATTTATTTCATATCTAGATTATATGAAATAGTATTATGATGTAAAGACAATCAACATATGTGCATAAAATCACAGGACAAGTTAATAACTTTTGGAAGATGGCTCTATTTATCATCAAAACAAAAATAAATGAGAGATTAGGTGGATGAGGGCGAGGGTGATCCTCGCTCCGATGCGGGACAACAGGTCATCAAACTGGGCGCGGGACAGGCGGAAGTACCGCTGACAGCGGCCATCATCCAGCGCAGCTCCTGGAGCGAGCAAATGGTGAAATTCGCCAAACGGTTCGCCTCCGAAGGGTCCGGAGGACAAAAATATATACGGCGACGATGATCCCCACGCCGCTGTTTTGCTCTCCAGAGTAAATACAGAGCGGTAACTCTCTTGATGAATGCTCGATCGACATAAAAACAATGGCCGCCAACGGATTTCGATTCTGACGCTCGTAAATTTCGCTTCAAACTTTTGTTTTTATGCACGTCAGTTTCACTTATGACACGCGAATTGACAAAAAGTGGTCAAGCGTCAAAGTAGCTGACCTCCAGGTCAGGTCAAAGTAGCTGACCTCGGTCAGGCGCGAATTTGACGCGCGATTTGCGTCCGGTGTGAACGTAGCATAACCCTAACCCTACCCCAGACCTAAACCTACCCATAACCGAAGCGTGTTGTATTGAAGCTAAAGGGTGCCATGTGCGTCGGATTTAGACGCAATGTCAAAAGTGTCACTATATGACGCCCTAGGATGAGAATGCGCTGTTATTATGGATGCCAGCTGCAGTTTTGTGTTAAATTCTTTAAATACTCAAGCTCTCCAAAGCAGGATGGATTCGGATTGGCTGTCAGTGTTTTTTATCATTCATCAAGTAAATCTTTATCTTTGTTATAGTTATCGTCCTTGATGTGAAAGGGTTTTTACACTTCACACTTTAACGCATTAGCCAACAATGTATTTACAGCATTTATTAACATTTGCTCATTTTATATTAAAACTAACTTGATTTGTACTGAAGGTCACCCGTTAGATTAGGGTTCAATTCTCACTATTAACTAACTATGACCTAATTACTGTTTATTAATAGTTATGTTTAGGGTGATTAAGAGATGTAGAATATGGTCATGCAAATAATATGTGCTTTAACCCTTATACTGCATTAGGGACATTTTTGGTCTTTTGCAGTATAATTTCTTTGACCATTTTGGCTGTTTTAATGCAAATGGTATGAAATTTGGCAAAACTGTGACCTTTTGGATACATGTAAAAAATGTGATCCCATTTTGCAAAATATGTATAACACACACTGTGTAGATCAAATAGTAACACTCAGCACCATAAAGACCAAAAATGGCCCATTGAAACCCATTAAAACGTTGTTTAAATCTGAGGCTGTCAGTAATACATGAAACATGATTTTTGCACAAACATCCTTTCATTTTGAAGCAAAAGCATTATATTTGCATTATATAGTGTATTCCACCAGATGACGTCACTACATATTTATTCCCTATGGGTGGAAATGCACCTTATTTTAGGCAATAGGCAATGTTTAATAGGTGGCCATTTTTGGTCTCTAACGCGCTAAGTGGGATTTTTTGCAAAGTGGGACTGTGATAATCCAAATCTAAAGTTTTCTCTTTGCATTTTTTTTATTGAAAATAATTGAATTTTTGTGTTTTTTCCTCTTATACAAATCGATGGTTTCGCAAACAAAACTGGTAATTAAAGGGTTAAAATCCTGAAATTGAATACATTTTTGGTAGTTATGATGAGGACTGATGCTGGTTAAAAGATTTAACTTGGTAAAAGTGGATAATAATAATGATATATAATATTTTAGGCAATGTTTAATATGTGGCCATTTTTGGTCCTTAATGCACTCAACGGTGTTAAAAATCTAATGCAGCACAAGGGTTAATAAACAGACAATATGCATGATAATAAACAACAACTACAGTATATAGTGAGAACAGACGTGTTACCGAACTGAATAATGACACTATTGTCTTCGAGATTTGATGACGTTTGCATCATTGTTACTGATATTTTCTTGTTTATTCTTTATTGTATGAATCCCTATATGAAGAAACGTGAACGTGTATGTCAATAAATGCAACTTTTTAGAAATGAACATTAAGAATAATAAAAAGCATAGGCAAGGCGAGTTTATTTATTTAGCAATTCAAAGGAATTAAAATAAAAGCAAGGAAAATTAAAACGGTTATAAAAAGAATTAAAAGATGCTAGATGAACTTCTTATCCAGACAATCTTCTGATCTGGAAGTATGGTTTATCGTTATTCATGATGTTAACAAATGAAACCTTCTTGTAAAGTGTGACCAAAGGTAATCGATGCCAAATGCATCACACAAAAGTCCCCATCGTCTCTCTGCGGTCTTCGTTCAAGTGAATGGGGATTTTGTCAGAGGCCTTGCATGTGGTATCTCAAGCAATTTGTGTTGATGGCTCTGAAATTAGTTTTACGTCCTAAAACAAAAAGCAGCGCAGCAGGAAACAATGTATTTTGAGAGGAGGCTACAGTAAAAGAAACGGCCTCATTGTTGCATCTAGCGTTTCCATCTCACGTTTTTCCAATTACCGATCGGCTCTGAAAGATGTCAGCGTTGTATACAGAAAACATGTTTCCACTAAAGTCATGTTCTTTGGAGCTCGGCTGGCTTGTGCTCGTGACGGGCAGAACACAGCCGGCCTCCTGGGCTTTCTGTGGTCCGTTTTCCCACAGAGAAACAGTCTAGCTGACAAATAACAGGGCCTAGCCGTCCCTCGGGCGGCGAGCGGCACACGGATGGGCCCCAGAACCGGGAAAGCCGTGGAGATCGGGACTGAGACGGAGTGACTGCTCGACAATGCGGGATGCTCTTCAAACGGCTCAGAACTGTCTAATTTAGTCATGTGACGCTGAGGGTAAACGTCCCAGACAACAATATGTCATTTTAATGTCGGTTTATTCATAGAGTTCTGCGGTCAGGGTTGGGATTGGGAGGACTGGGAGGGTTTTTCCATCCTTTTCTTTTACAATTAATTTCACATGTTACAGTCACAGTGTGAGGCCACGTCTTTCAAGTGTAAAGTAGCAGAACGATGCACTTTATATGGTCGTAATGAACTGCAAATTAAAGCCCAGTTTCATTTCAGACAGCATGCACAGCTGAAAGGTCAAATGCATGTGTGTGTGTTTGTGTGTAAAATAGGTTTTGCATATTCAATATCATTCAATTTAGCCTATTAAAAATACACTGAAATTCACACTAAAAATCATACTTTCTTTGGTAAATTTCTTTTTGTGATATTACTTTCAGAATCTTAGGGAAAACAAAATGGTAAATAAATAAGTACCCATACAAAAACATACCTAGGTGGGCCAACAAAGGAATAAATTAGTCATTCTAAAAATAATTATGTTAATTGAATGTGATAAGTAAAAGTATTTAGACTTCAATTTTGGTCACAGAGTTGAAAAGATGTACAAGAAATAGCTAATAAAAACATCATAAGTGCATGTATAAAATGAATCCCTGACTGTTAAAAAAGAAATGAAAATGCCATTTAAAAAAGAAAATTTCAAAAAGTATTTATAAGAACCTTTCATATTTTTTTAAACCGGAGAAAATGCATAACAGAAAGGTTTTACCTTGATTAATCCTATATTGCATAAAGCTCATATTGAATATGCAATAGAGCTTGTTTTGCTAAATTATTGCAATGAGCAATTATACCATGCTAAACAGGTATTGTTTAAATTAATTAACATTAAAATATACTATTTTAATTGACTAACGTATCAGATTTTTAAAATATACACGTGTCATCAATAGAGCAGAGTTCATTCAACACGTTAACACACTAATGTTTGCTGTGTGTTTTGTCTGACTTTCATGCATTTCCCAGGAGGAGACACTGAAAACTGTGCCGGTCTGAGAGAGAGAAAGAGAGAGAGGCTGACCGCTTGAGACATGACAACAAAGTTGGAAATATCTTTTATTTTCTTCTTGTGTTTGTTCCCACATCCTTCAGCGATTCAGAATATGCACATTTCTCTGTGGCATTCGCTTAGAAAACAAACCTCCCGACAAACAATCCCACGCAAAAAGCAGCAGAGAACGCCTCACAAACACAAACATGATAAGACAACACTGTTTTGTTGAAGCTTGATTAATACCACTGAGGCTGTTTCATAATCATGTTCAATAAGAGATCATCTGGGCCCGAACAGTCTCAGTTTT